TTCCAGCCAGCGGAGGCACCAGGCGCAGCGCAAAAATGAAAATAAAAATAAAAACCTCGGCCACACACACATCGCCCCCGCCGTGTGACCGATCGCTCGTGCGCGCTTGCCTCCTCCCGAGCGGGACACGCTCGGCAACGCTGCGCGGGCGGCGGGCGGGGGGTGAGGGGAAAACACGGCAACATGAAAAAGCCCGGGTCTCGAGCCAGGCCCGGCGCCGGCCGCCTCGAAAGGGCAATCCCCGGCCTGGTGCGCCAGGCGCGCCCGACCCCCGGCCGGGGGAAGAAGGGCGAGACACCAGCTGCCGGAGGGGTGGGGGGCAGAAGGCCAGCCACACTCCCGCCGACGGTGCCACATCATCGGCCTCCGCCGCGGGTCGGTGAAGTGGGGCGCCCCGGCACTTGCCGGAGATGGGGAGGGGAATATATGAGTGCGTATATTAAACATCTGAATATCCCTTCCCCCTCCCGCCGGACCCAAGGAAGAAAGTGCCCGGGGTGGGGAGAAGGGGGGGCGGGGGGGGGGGTGGGCCGGGGGGGAGTTCCTCCCGACGCCGGACGGCAAACTGCGCCCCGACCCCGGGGCCTGGGACCACTCGCCGCCCCTCCGCAGCGCACACTCCTTCCCAGCGCACACACACACACACACGCACAGACGGCAGGGCACGGCAACGGCCGCAGGGGCAGGGCCGGGGGGGGGAAGGGGGGGCAGGCCCCGCCCACACTTTGGACAGCAGGCCCGGCAGGAATGCTCGCTGGTGCTGGCAACAGGCAGCCGCCAACGCAGCGTACCACAAAGCCCGGCGCGCGGCCACATGCCCGGAGCGTTGCATTCTCACGTCACGGGCACAATGCCATTACACTCCACACAGACAGACCGGGCGATCTCTTGGCCGCGGATCTGATCAGCACCGACGCTAGGGTCGGCTGGGGACCCTAGTTTGTGGGCCGGGCTCGCGCGTGCGGCTGTGGGGGGGGGGGGGGGGGGGGGGGGGGGGGGGGGGGGGGGGGGGGGGGGGGGGGGGGGGGGGGGGGGGGGAGCGAGGCCGGAGGCGCCCCCACGCCCGTAACTTCTCAAATGTGGCGGCAACGGCGATGGCGGCAGTGGAGGGGAGCCTGTGGCTCTGTCCCCTTGGACTCGCCGCGGCTCGCCTTGCCGGGGACCGAGGGCGGCGTGTGGCGGCATCGGAGGCTGTTAGCCCCCCGCCCCCTCGCCCCCCCCCCCCCCCTGGCGTCCGCGGCCCAGGCCGGCTGGTCGCGGCGCGGCTGGCCTTCGGGGTCGGGACCTGGATGTCCGTTGGTTTCCGGCCGAGCTGGTGCACTGGCCGGACCAGGCACACCGGGAAACGAGGGGCGAGGCCGGAGCGCCGGAGAGCGGGGGATGCGCATTCTGACGTGGCTAACCAGCACGGCAGGTGGTGCCGTGTGTGTCGCCCCGGGCAGGCGCGGCGCGGCGCGTCGTGCCAAGGGTGTGTGTGTGTGTGTGTGTGCAGGCGCCCATCATGGCCCGCTTGGGCGCGGTCCGCGGCTGCCTTGCGGCCGGCGCTCCAGAACGCCCTCTCGAGGGGTGGCGGCGGGCGGCCGAAGGAAAAAAGGTGCCGGCTTCAGCCCTGGGCGGGCTCGCGTCTCTTGGCAAAGTAGTCGCAGTCCTCAGCCCCCTGTCCCTGCTCTCCTTCTCTCCCCCCCCCCTCCCGCCATCATGTTCCTC